GCCACCTTAGGTGTATGTGGCTGGTGCCTTAGCCACTTGAGCCACAGACGCTGAGCCCCCCCCCCATGATTGATTTTTGAGATTTTGTATTAAATAAGGTGTCTTGAAACAGAAACACACATAAAACAGGGTTACACAGTGACCGAGTAACTAGAATGTTGTGGCCAGAGGCTCATGGACACCCACCCCCTACCTCCCCCAGGAACACTGATTCAGTGCTTGCAGCAACTTCATAGAACAGAACTATTTAGAATAACAAGAATCAACTATATTGAAATATAAATATTTAACATCATTATTATTTTTAAAGCAGCCCTGGAATTAAGGGATACTTGTCCCTTGACAGTAAATCTTATCTCTCAACAAGAGTAAGTGCTCAGCCAGCAAGAGGAAGCTTCTGTTGAGCCCTCCACGAGCCCATGGGGGACTGGGCATGAAGAGAACTTTCAATTAGTATCAAATGAAGTCTGATGTGTGGTCCCAGTGTCCTTCAAAACGGATGGAGAAAAATTCATCTATTTGTTGAAGTATTAGAAAAAAAGCAAATGCGCTCCAAAAATGGCCCTGTCCATTAGTCTCCAAAGCCTGCTAGTCCCAAGAGACTCCCTGTGATTACTACAGTCAAATGGGTGCTCCTTCACAGAGGCCAGTGCATAAACAACCTGTCGCCCATGACCACCACGAAAGCCTTCTAGAAAGGAACACTTCATAAACGGGCTGCAGGTAGCTTCAAAGAAGGTGCACTCTGTAAGTGTGCTCCTGACTTACTCATGGCCTGGTCGAGATTCATGTTGCTGCTCTTCAAGGCCTCTTCAGCTGGCTCTCTCTGTAGGACAGTGGAGGAAACAGGTTAACCACTGCTCATTTAGCAAAATAGCTAGTATTATCCCAGTTTTGGAACTGGAAATACTCTTCTCCATTATTGAGGTTAGAGATCAATAACTTCTAAATACATGTAAAAAATACTTATAAGAAAACATACAGACTTGCTTTTTAAAGAACTTGGATTTAGTACTTTAGAAATGAAATTTAAGCTATCAGCAAAACTTTGTAAATCCTCCTCTTATTGCTTTCTGTACAACATGGAACGGCACTGAAGCAGCAAAGACGCACTCTAAGCCAAGGCAGCAGGCACAGCCCTGACACACACAGACAGTGAGGTTGGGCCAGGCTCCTATCCTAGAGAGTCACATCTCCAGCTGCCTCGCTCCAGTGCCAGCAACTGTGTTTAAGGTACTGACAGAGTACAGAGTATCATTTGTTTGTATGTATGTATTTATTTATTTAATGCTAGACTCTGGTGATCTTCCCTCCTCAGCCTCCTGAGTAGCTGAGACTACTGGTGGGCTCTATCAAGCCTGGCTAACTTTTTAAGTTTTTTGACCCCAGCTGGTCTTGAACTGGCCTCAAACAGTCCTTTTGCCTTGGTCTCCCAAAGTGCTGGGATTACAGGTGGCAGGCACTACTGACAGTCAGAGCTTCCTTTTCTACCTCATGAACTCTAGGCTTCATCATCAACAACCCAACAAAACCAGAGATTTACTTTGATAATTATCCCTGTATGGGAACAGACTAATCTCAGTGGATAACCAGAGCCACTAGGGTGTTGCGGTAACTGTGATAGTATAGATCAGGGCTCCCTGAGGCCTCTGTCACCCTCCTGCCATCTCAACACAGGCAGAGGCTAGGCCACCAAGGCAGTGCCCTGCCCAGCACAGAGGGCCTGTACCCAGAGGAAGGACTGAGTTCCTCTCCTACGTGGAGGCCACTCTGTAATCACTCCTATAGGGGCATCCGCAGCAGGTGAAAGATGAATACTCACTTGAGTAACGATTTAAGGAAGACATCTGAAGGGAACACGTGACAAATATGGGTGACATCTCTCACAGTTTGAACTCCTGTCATCTGATCGCAGGGACTGACTATATTGTGAATGAATACATTTTCTTTCTTTCTTTCTTTTTTTGCCGGGGTTGCGTTTGAACCCGCCACTTCTGATATATGGGGCTGGCACCCTATTCCTTTGAGCCACAGGGCACTGCCCACTTTTTTTTTTTTGAGACAGAGTCTCACTTTGTCACACTCAGCAGAGTGCCATAATGTCACAGCTCACAGCAACCTCCAGCTGCTCTTGGGCTTAGGTGATTCTCTTGTCTCAGCCTCCCAGAGTAGCTGGGACTACAGGTGCCCGCCACAATGCCTGGCTATTTTTTTGTTGCAGTTTGGCCAGGTTAGAACCCACCACCCTCAGAATATGGGGCTCGCACCCTACTCACTGAGCCACAGGTACTGTCCGCATTGTGGTACATTTTCAAAGGATACTCTGTGATCTGAATTCTCCCCACAAATGATCAGAAACTCAGGAAACAAACAGGTTTGGTTAAGATATTTTTTCTGGGCTTGGTGCCTGTGGCTCAAGTGGCTAAGGCACCAGCCACATACACCTAAGGTGGCGGGTTTGAATCCAGCCTGGGCCCACCAAACAACGAGGGCTGCAACCAAAAAATAGCCGGGCATTGTGGTGGGTGCCTGTGGTCCCAGCTACTTGGGAGGCTGAGGCAGGAGACTAGCTTGAGCCCAGGAGCTGGAGGTTGCTGTGAGCTGT